CTATCCCCCCCCCCTTTTTTTCCCCTACAAATCTTTATTCCAGAGGGGCTCAGTCCTTGGCAGCTGCCTTCCTCAAGACAGCCAGCACGTTGCTCAGCTCCTCATGCTTCCTCTTGGCACAGATGTGCACCCCCACCCTTTCCTTGATGAACATGAGGGTGTGCTTGTCCTTGGAGACCTTGAGCAGCTCCATGGTGCGCCGCTTGTAGGGGGTGAAGCCACACACCTCCCGGATCATGTCCTGCATGAACTTGGTGTGTTTGGTGAGATGTCCTCGAGGGTGGCTGTGCCTCGGTTTGCTTACATCCTTAGTCACCTTGTGGCCCTTGTTGAGGCCCATGGCTGTGGGATAGCAGAGGGCCATGGCTACTATTCTCCGATGGTTGCTTTGGTGTAAGCTGTTCTGTCCCTTTAACCTATTTATCTTTTGGGTTTCTCAGTTTCTACACAGCTGATGATGCAATGGGGGCTCAGCAAAGGACACGGGCACACAGGGCCTCGGCCCGCAGGGGTACCCCACTGTCCAGATGCCTCCTCCCTCCCTGTGTATCTGCCCCCTTGAGTCTCTATCACAGCCCTAAGACATGGATGTGAGTGCCACTTGCTGGAGTAGGAGACAAGAGACTCATGTAGGCCACGTGGAGGAGCGGTCACCATCGTCCAGCCCTCTCAGACTTGCAGGCTCCTGCTCTCCGTGGGACTCAGGACATGCTGGTAGCCAAGGGCAGGGCCATGTCCCTGAGAAGGAGCCTTATCTTTGCTTCTCTGGGTTTTGGCCCCTGGAGGCACCCATCTAGAGGGCTCTCTTAGAACCTCTAGAAGGGTCCCTGGAGCCCTCAGTGAAACTTTACAGGTGGCAGATAAGAATCATCCCAGGATGCCAAGCATTCAGGTTTCCTGACCCCAGGTCGGGGCTCCTTGCTCTGCACTGTTGCAGGCTGCTCCTCCCGGTGATGTGGGCTGGGGTGGGGCCAACAGCAGTGCCCTGGGGAAGCAGCCAGCAGCTGGAGATCGGGCAGGGGTCATGGCAGCGTCCAGCATCATCTCAGCTGCTGGGAGTGTGCCTATGGCAGGTGACCTGGCTGCGAGACCCCAGTGCTTGGCGGTGTCCAAAGTCAGCCCAAGGTGGCCTGTTTCCAGTCCTTGTGGGCTGCAGGAAAAGGGGAAAGGGCCATCGGCAGGGAAAATGGGGTGTGCTATGTGCATGGTGCTGTGACATGCCACTAGGAGAAGGTGACTGCAGCCACCTCAGGTCCATGATTGGTGGACAGGCCCATGGGTGCCAGGCCTCCTCAGCTCCCACAGAAGCCCCCTAGCTGGGCACTTGTTGGCATTCCCAGGTGCTCAGTTGCTCCCCATGTATGGGCATCAAGACCACAGTGCAGGTATTTGGGACCAGTGACTCTGGGGAGTGGATCTCCTCCAGGAGGGTCTGGGCCAAATCCGGGAGGAACAGAGACTGATAGCCCAGCCCTGCAAGCTGGAAATAGGTATGAGGAAGAGCAGCAGGGGTGGGACCTGACCTGGGCCCTTTGTGCAAGAAGGCAACACTCAGAGACCCTACAGAGTCCTCAAAGATCACCAGGGAGGCCTGGAGGAGAGCAAAGTGAAGGGGAAAGGGGATCCAGGCAGGGTCTGTGTGCATGGCTGTGTGCAGCCTGACCAAGACCATGTGCAGCCTGTGCCTGCATGTGTCACATAGAGCAGGCACCCTTGTCACTCCAGTCTCAGAGCCAGCAGGCAGAAGGGAGAGATGCATACACAGGAGAGGAAAAAAGAAGGCCGTGGGCAGAGAGAAAGAGGCAGGTGTGCCCCGAGGGCTTTGTGTAGGCAAAGGAGGTCTTGGTCAGCCCCAGCATGCTGAGGACTGCCTGAGGCTTCCTCCTGGGGCTGGCACAGATGGTGGGACATACAGAGTACAATGGCTTCTTTGGGGAAGACTTTGGGCACCTCCTCCAAGTTGGGTGCGACTCCTGGGCCAGTACTTAGCCCAAGGCTAGTTTTGCATTTTGTGGTTGGTGAGACAGATAAGACCACAGGCTGGAAGTGGCAGGAAGGAGTGAGGTTACACAGGTCACCCTGGTGTAGGGAGGTGTCCAACCTGAATGTTGCTCAGTCTCGGAGTGACCTGGTGCATGAGACTTGCACAGAGACTTCCCTGGTCCTCAAATAGCACTTGCAGTCACTGGTGGACAGACCCAGCACTCAGCATGCCCTGCAAAGAGGACCAGTTCCCTGGTGGACAGACCCAGCACTCAGCATTCCCTGCAAAGAGGGCCAGTTCCCCCGCCTCTGTTGGCCTGCTGCCCCCACCCAGCCCTCTGAGTTCCCCTTGGCAGCAGCTGACCACACGGTCTTCCTGCTATGCTGCTCCCTGTTAGCGGTCAGTTTTAGCCAGCTGTGTGTGTGAGTAAGCAGTCTCTGAGTGGGGCGATAGGACTGCCCACCTCCTGCTGGGCACCCTGTCTTCTGGTTCATCCCAGGCCTCCTTATGCTCCATACACCATCTAAGACTTTCTTTCTCCACTTTCCACTTTTTTCTTCAGCTCTGCCTGCTTGCATTAAATTTCTACCTTAATGCCCTTTCCAAACTTGGCTTTGGTCCTTTGTAAACTCTGCCTTTTCAATCATTCTCACTTGCCTGCATTTTTAGCCCTTCTTTTACCTTTTTGAGCCTTAGCCACCATCTATTTAAATGGCCCTGTTAGACCATATATGCACTCTATTGTCTCCCTCTGGGCCTGTTTCTTGGATGTTTCTCCACTCCTTGGTGAGGTTCCTAGGATTTTCTCTGCTAAAGCCTCATTAGTAGGAGGTGGTTTTCCATCCAAATCCCTGTGCTGGCGTAGACAGTTATCTCAGAGGTAGTTTGTGTTTGGTTTTTCTGGAACCTGTCAGAGTTCATCAGTTACAGATGGGTTAAAGTGTCAGGTCCAGTCACCATTTTCTGCACCATTTTTTTTCCCACCTTAGCAGAGCTGGGACAGTGAGCCATGTGGCCCTCTGGGGTGCTATGTCCTGAGTAGAGTCTGGAGTTTCTGGCTCTTTTTAGAGGTTGGGCGTTAGCTCCTTGCATCTCCAGCTCATGAGGAACAGACCCCAAATCTCCATTCCCGAGGCTGAGTTTTCCTCTCCTAATCCTGCTTGGCATGGTGCATCATAGCCCATTAAGCATAAGGCCTGTTCTCATGTTTTCAAGGTTCTTGAAACCAATTAATATCTTGGCTTCTTTCTAATTTCCCCTTTAATATGCTTCTAAGAATTTTCTGGCACTTAGAAAACTTAGTTTCTTGCTTTTAGCTGAGCACTTGACATGTATACTTTGGTTGAAGGCATTGGACATTAACTGTGCCGAGTGGTGAGGCTTTCCCCTACTAGTTTTCAACAACCTAGTTCAGGCACAGAAAAGCCAAGCAAATGGCTCCATCCATAAGCCAGACCTTGACCCTGAGTGTGGGACACAAAGGAGAGGGTGTAGGACAGGTAGCCTGCTGAGCAGAGTGGCCAGGTACCTGGCTCTGTGGGTAGCACTGGGAAAATGGAGGTATGAATGGGTTGGAGGTTAAACAAGGTTAAATAAACAATGGGATGGGAATACCAAGTCTATAAGCCAGAAACATCAGAGTTAGTAAAAGAGTGTGTATTTAGGATGGAGGGGTAAAGGATAGTAGTGATGAGATTGTTGTGACAAGGATGGTGGTAGTAAGGTGAAGGCTGGGAGTGTGATAACTCAGGTATTCAGTCAGGGCCAACTTGTTGGATGGGGAGCCATGTGATATTGGCTGGGTAGCAGCCACCTGGAGGCTGTAGGAATCAGAGGTCAGCCAGGTGCTCAAGCCTCCAGGAGGTGAGGAGGAGGTGGCTGATGTTCTGAAGAAGTGAAATGCCGTGGTGTGGGTGAGAAGCAGGACCTTCCGGTGCCCAGGAGCTTATTGTTGGCCTTGGCGCTGCCCTGTTGGCTGCCTGCTGTCCAGGAGAGGCCGTGTCTTCCACAGGAGCTGCTAGGTTGGAAAGGTCAGCCTGGGAAGGTGCGAGATGCCCTTCCCAGCAACTTCTCACTACCTATGTTTTAAATAAGTACCTCCAGGCTTCAGAAGGGGACAGTAGCTATAACAGTTCCCAAGGTGACACAACAGATATGGGGATACATGATGAGTATAAAAGCAGCTAAATAGTAGACATAAATCTCCACCATATTTGGTCCATGATTTTGCAGTGATATGGTATTTTAAAGTCAGTTTTAATTATATATATATATATATATATATATATATATATTCCTTCTTTTCTCCTTTCCTTCTTCCCAAAAGGAAAGTTATTCTTTCCTTTTTGAGAAGTTTCTTAACTTTTCACAATGAGATAATTGTATGACTATTAGATCACTGAAAGAAACAGTGTTTATGTTGTTTGAGCAATCTAACATGCCTATATCTGGTAATCTGAACAACTCCTTTGAAGATAACAATATGCAACAGAATAACCATTGTTAATTTCCTATCATCTTGTTTTGAAATTCTGTATCATTTTTATTGTCTTTACAATAAAAGAAACAAAGCACAACAAAATAAAAATAAAAGTCAGTTTTGAATGGAGGCCTAGTAAACAAATTTAAGCTCAGAGCGCCCCCTTCTGGACAAATTTGCTATCACATGGGCTCCACCTCAAAGTGGCTCTTGGGGGGCCTCCTTCCTGAGGCTCTCCAGGTAGGATTCAGGGTAGAGCTGGTATTCAGACACTTCAGGGGCTCTTTTCATACAGAACTTGGCACAAATGCCTGTTCTTCTAGCACTTTGTGGTAATGCTATTAGGAACAGGCCTCCTTCCTGCATGGCACCAACAGGACACCCGGGTGTGTGTCCTGGCAGATGTAGCAAAGATATATTTCAGACTGGAGCATCTCCCAGGTGACAACCTTTTTCTGATCAGCAACAAAAACCAATGCCTTTTGATAATAAACCAAGACAAAAATACATTATGTTCAATTCAGTAACAAAGATCTCTTAGTCATAGATTTTAGTACCTTTAGAGACTGGGCGTTGGGAATGGGAGTGACCAATAGATTCTGCGGATTTCCGGGCAAAGGGAGAGAGCAGTGGCAGGATCCTGGAAGGACACTTGGAGCAATTGGCCGGAAGGTTGCACTGCGCATAGATATTGAGCGGGAGGTTCTCCTGGCTGGGCGGTAGGTGAATCCTGGGGCTGCAAGGTACTTCTGGGATGGGGAAACACTCCCTGCTTGTTTGAAGATAGGTCCTTGGGATGCATGCTGCCCGGGGGATGGGGTAGCACTCTCTGCCAGGTTGAGCACAGTTCCTAGAGGCACAGTGTTGCTGTGTAAGGTGGTGGCACTTCCTGCTGGGTTGGACGCAGATCTTCTGGCCACAAGAGGCCTGGCCATAAGAGGCCTGCCCACAGTGGGGATTCAACAGGGTAATGTTGGTGTACCGCCCCTGTAAGGAAGAGAAGAGAGGCGAGGTCATCATAGTGCCAGTGGGAGTTGGGCCAGCCGAAGGACCCATCAGGGTAGACAGTATGGCCTTCCTTATTGATGTTCACTGTGAATCAAATCAACAATAAATGGAGTCGCTTGTGTCAAATAATAAAAATAAAAAGTTAAAGTAGATAAAAGCTGAGTTTAGGAAGGACAGGATCTCGTGCATGCTTGCTTGAGAAGCACGATTGCAAAAGTCTCTGCCAGAACCATTGCTTTGAACCAAGGCTGCCACAAAGCTTTCAAATTAGTGGGTTTACCAAGACACCCCTCCCTAGCAACCAGGAGACCCAGATGTCCAAGGGCTCTTCCTTTTTAAAATATTTTATACCAAAAAGTGTGCCTATAAAGACGTCTACCTATTAACTATCTGTTCTTCCAAAACCACTATTATTATCGATCCTAGAATGCCCTTTTAAGAATCCTCATGGGCCAGGACTATTGCTTCCAAATAACCGTGAATCCCGGTTTTGCTTTTCAAGCTTCCCTCGGCTTAGCCCTTCAAGTACGCCCAGTGTGTGCCCTGCCCTGCATGCGCCCACTACAACACTCTGTGTCTCCCCAGTGAACTCAGCATCACTGGAGAATCTCTGCTGGGACCTTGGTTTGGTGTATTTGGTGTCAGAAGTGGGATGTGAAATGACAGCACCTGCAGAGGACGTGGGTGGCTGTGGGCAACAGAGCCTTCCTTCAGCCCCGTGCACCCTCCCTCTCTGTGTTTCCCTTTCTGCCCAGTGTGTCTTCTCTTAGACAGATCCTCCTTCACATTGCCTGGGAGTCCTTACTGAATCTATTTGGGATCTACTTGGCATAAGGTTACCTTAGTGAAGGAATTTTGCATCCCTCTTGGGACTTTAAGTTTTCGGTGGGCCTTTTCTGGTCTAAGGATGTGTCTTTTCTGGTTTCTAAGAACTCATATTTTGTCTTTGGGGACTGCAAGTCTTTTCTGGAAAATTCACTCTTGGTTTCCCATGCCTGATTAAGCATTGCATTTTATCTGCACATTTAGTTTAAAATTTTTGTGAGTTCTTTCATTTTGCTTTCATTTTTTATAAATGTATCTATAAGTAATTTGGCTCTTTTACTCCCTGCTTGCTTCTGAACTTTTTTCAAGAGCAAAAGTGAACAGCTCAATGCTGCAAATGGTACAGCCACTGAAAAGTCAACAAGGCATTTGCTCTGCAAGGAACCGAGGGACTCTGATTTCCAAAGAAAAAGTCTCCTTTGTAAGAATGGATAGGTAACAGGCAAGAGCAACATTGTGACACCTGCCAGCCTCAGAACAACTTCCACGCAACTGGGGCAAACTGGTCACAGGCTGCACAAACTAGGACAAAGATTAACCAACAAACAACAAATCAATTAGTGCCAGGTACACTCATCAGAACAAATCAATGTGCTCAAATCCTTTAAATTAATTGATAGGGCTTGGAGGAATTTCCTGTGTTCTTGAAAGATTTATTAGAGTCAAAATAGGGTCTGAGGATTCCAAAGCATCCAGAAAAAGTCCTTTTTGGAGATTCCGCTTTATTATGACTCCTTTCTATGCACACTTGTATGCTGACTGGCAAATTATACCACAGATACATTCTTAATCTGAATAGACATTGGCATTGGCAGGCAATAGTGCTTGGCTTGGCTAGTTCTGGGAATCTCCTCCGCCCTTTCCTTCCCCTGTTGCAGTTCTGAGTAGAGACTGTCTATTGTGTCCTCCCCCTTTCCCATATGTGGAAAGGGGACCATCTTAGTTCCCGTTGCAGGAAAGGTGCTAATTCCAGTCATACTGGCGAATGTTGTGTCTTAGCGCCCCCTACTGTGGGGCATCACTCTGAGAAATGTAGATGCAGCTGCTCTGGGATTCTTTGCGTGCCGGGGCATTCCCAGGCAAGAGGCTGCTTTCCTGCTGTCTGTCCCCAGCAGCTGAGTATCCAGAACCTTCTCTATCCATCCTGATGCTAAAGAGAGCATCTGCTGCCAGGTGCCACCAGATGGGCCTGGACTGGATCTGCAGATAGGATCCTGGGGACTCCTGGTCATGTGGCTTTATTGGCACTCCTGGCTGTCCCTTGTCTCTGCCGTGGTGTAGCCCAGCATTCTTTATGACTTCTTGTAATAACGGATACACAGTGTCAACCGGAGAAGTTCAGAGATTTAGGTGACTCAGCAGGGGGCCAGGGTCCTCACTTTGTAAACATCCTCATCCTGTGCAACAGGAGGGCACCGGGATGGAGTGCGTGTTCACCTACCCTGGGGAGTGGTGCTGCTTGGAAGATAAAGGAAGGAAAGAGGCCTGCCTTCCCCCTTTCTGCTGTTGTTGTTTTTGCTGTCTTCTGCCTCCTTGAGCTATTGTCCTTGTGTCATGCCACCCTGCCGTGGAGCCAGCTGATTATAAGCTGAAACCTCACAAACCATTAGCTAAATAAACCTTCCCTCCCCTAATTTTGGGTGTCTGGTAATTTGTCTCAGCAATGGGAGAAAACCAGCACGCCTCAGGAGTTGCTTTTCATCCCTTCTAGTGATACAGAAAGGGTGGACCTTGGGGAGCCTAAGCAGCCTGGTGTGGCTGTGCCAAACTCTGCTGTGGACCCTTGAAGCTGCCACAGGGGCTCCTCTTCACCCACCACAGTTGTCCCCAAAATAGACTCCTGTCCCTTCGTGTACATCAGATATGAAAAGCCTGCTTGGATCAGACAGGACTGCGAGTCTGTTTGCAGGGCCACGTCTGACTGGGCGTGCTCATCCATCCATTTATTCATCCGCTCATCCACTTGTCAAGAGAGCTTTTAGCTGTGAGTCTAGACCTAAGACCGCTGCTCAGGCCAAGCTTGTTCCTGTCACACTCCAACCCGCATAAAGCTTGTTTCTGTCATACTCCAACCCACCTAGCTGTGGGCGTCTGTCTCCCTCCTCCACATATGCGGGACCATGAGCGCCGCTGCAAACAACTTGACCGCTGGATTGACAAAGACAGTGTTTGACTCCTGCCTTCCTCCTCCCCAGCTCCAAGCTGCCCTGGGGCCTTCGCGCGGCTGCTGCTTCTGCTTGGACGGGGCTTCAGTGACTTGTACTCTACTGACTGAGTTCCACTGATTTGTTTTAAGTGTAAATGTCAGAGTCTGCTCTTGCCAACCAGGCGTTAGCTGGCATAATAGTGACTTCACATTCTCTGGACAGTTGCTTGTCACCCCCTGACATTCACCAAAGAAAATGTAAACCCATCATGACAGTGGGACTTCCTTTATCTGGTTCATTCTATGTCCCTAGCGCCTGATGTGGAATAACTTTTGCTGAATGAATGGGGACAGTGAAGCCCATGACTATTTGCCTCTGTGAGTTCCTCTGTGTTTCGATGCTTACCTGGATCTCTCTGTTTAGTTTCCTTGCATTTTATTCTACTTATTATCAGTAAAACTTTTAATCTACGCAATATTTGAAACTGGGGTTTATTCTATTATGTCATGAGAGGAAGCTTCAGTCTTTTTCCCAAGAGCTTGTTGAAGTTTACAAAATGATTAAACGTGCAGTGAACATGCGGCAGTGACTGCAAGTGCATTTTGGCCACCGTGGATGACTGCTGTCATTGCACACCTTACTTATTCTGTGCAGTGCTTGGTTGATTTGAAGCTGTTGTTTGATGAGACCATTGTTTTAATTGTTGGAGCTTAAGGTCTCCATATAGGATAAGGCCCAATTTCCTTAACTATTTTTTCCCTTTGGGAAATTCCATAAAGATTCTACACTGTTTGTTATTTTGGGTGAACTTTAGAATCATTCTGATCAAAGTTCTTAAAATGCTTCATTGCAGTTTTCATTAAAGTAGTATGAAGCTCACGAATTGCTCCGGGTAGAACTGACATTGTAGTGCCGACAAATCTTCTCTTACAGCCGTGAGTCAAGCTTTGTGATGTCTTTTCATCATAGGTGGGTGTATTGGTGTGGCACAGGCATTTGGATTTTTATTGTTTCTGGGAATAGAATTTTCTTATTTCCAGATCTTTTTGCATGTTTACTCTAGAATGAAATCATTCTGGACTATTGCTTACCCCTAGCTGTGAGGGCCTGGACTTCAGGGCACTTGTGCAGGTGGGATGGGCTGGAGGTGCAGGTGCCTGGGTGAACATGAGCCAGAGCACGCCTGGGGTGGGCTGCCGAGACCCTGAGCCTGTGGGGAATTTCTAGGGGACAGGGAGGTATTACTGGGGTCAGGGGTCTCCTTCTTTTCACACAAGTTGCAACCAGATAAGATGGCCTTTTTTTGGCTACAGAAACGTAGCTGTTCAGATAAAGTGAGCCTTTTGAGAATTTCCTGGGTTATGAGGTGCTAAAACTTAAAATCACTAAAAATAGTACTTTTAAGAAGATCACGACTTCCAGGACCCTGTTGAAGTCACCCAAGGTGTCCAGATTAGCCTTGATTAAATTTAGGCTCCTTTCCTTCACCATCCCCCAAATTCCTCAAGAAAAGTCGAAGACCATAAGTTGGCTTAATGAGAAAATAGAATAGGAACCTGATCCTAATATAAAAGAAACAGTTGAGAGAAGCCAAAGAATGCTCGTGTTATCCATCTTCAACAACAATACAACACCACCTGGGCTCATATATGTAATATGGGCCAGCATCCTTCTGGGGGATGGGCCATCTTTTCCTGATGTCTCCAACCCCCAGGAGAAGCAGTTTCTTGGAATGTGTTTTTTAAATTTCTGGCTAACAAACCTTTCCCGTGTCTCTTATGGATGAGTCCTGAAAATTCTTTTTTTGAGATGGGAGTCTGAACCTGCAAAGCTGTTCTACGGGTCTGGTGGCTTGTGTTCCTTGTCTCAGCTTCTGGGACCTCCTTGGACCCTATCCAGTAACATTAGGAGGTAGCAGCTTCTATAAATACAAGGCCAGGTCCACATGAGCAGATTCCTTAGCTCCAGAGCTTATTTTCCTCCCCAGGCCACCCAACTCCAGGAAGAGATTAGAAATGCTCTCTCAGCCCTCTCAGGCCCCTGGTGCTACATGAGGCTCTGAGCAGAGCTTCAGGAAGAAGGGTGTGGGCCATGCAGGTGATCTATAGGGAGAGGGGCAGCAACGCCTGTCCTGGGCAGGATACCTGGCTGATATCTCTGCCCTTGCACCTGGGGCTGAGTTGCTGGGCTGGTGAAGTTACTTAAATGAGCTTCCCGTGGGCTTCCACCTGGCAGCATCCTCTGGTGCTTAGCCAAGTGGAAAAGCCCTGTGATAATAGAGCCCCAGGCAATTTCTGGGAAGGGGAAGCTGGGCTGAGTTTGCTGAACAGGCTGAGCTGGTGTCAGGGTGCTGTGCACTCTGCGTGGGGCTCCAGGGCACAGCTTTCTTTAAGGCCATAGTGAATAGGAGACACACCTTGGACTTGGGTGCATGGCCAAAACCTTATAAGATGCTCAGTAGGGCCTCCTTGACCACAGAGAGGGGAAGTCAAATTAGATAGTGGGCCAGGAGCTAGAGGAAGGTCAGGTCTACTTAGTGTGGCTCTCTCCCACACTAAGAGCTCAGTTGATTGCACATAGTCCTAGATGCTGGCCCTGACTATTTGGGTAGTCTTTGGCACCTTTTTGTCCTCCTTTGAGCCTCTGCATTGCTACTGGTGATACAGAGCTCCCCACCATAGGATTGGAGGGTGAACCTGCCAAGATGGCACAGCTGGGCAGCTGTTAGAGCGCTCTACAATCACTGGACCTCTGCCTCCAAGCCTTTGAGCCAGCGCTGCCCTCAGATCCCCAGCCTCACCCTCTGGGCTTCCTTCCAGGGTCCGCTCCCAGATCTCCTGTCTCCCTCTGCTTGACAAAAGGCATTTCCCAACTCAGCCTCTTGCTCTGTCCCTCCCTCCCAAGCAGACATTGGGGGATGTCAACCAGGTCCAGTGCACAGGGCAGGAGTAGAGTACAAGGGCCATGTGAGCTGTGACAGTGAGAGTCCCATGAGAAGTAAAGAAGAAAATGGGCATCCAGACAACAGGGCAGCCTGAGAACCCTGTTAGAGAGAGACCAGAGCCCCTGCTAGAGGGGTTGGAACCTCCACACCAAGCAGCCCTGTGGGATCCAAGGACCTGGGGTGCATTTCTGTCTCTCTTGAGCAGCACCAGGGTGTGAGCCATCCCAGCCCTTCTAGATAGCCATACAGCCAACTGCTGAGATAAAGTTGCCAGATTCAGGGAGCAAGGCTAGTACAGCTTCACATGGACCCTGGGCATCAAGCAGCCTCATTTCCCCAGGCCTATCTGTACAGAAAGCCAGGCTGAGGACCCAACGCCATCCAGAAGTGAGTGTTGGGGACTGAGGCCTGAGTAGGGCAATCCTGAGGCTGACCTGGCAGGGAACTGGGCTCTGGGAGCTGGGAACCAGGTTCAAGTTCAAGTTTTCATCTCTTCTTCCCAGACTTTGTCATGCAAACTCTGTGATACTATACAGTATCACAGATACTATGCAGATACTATACTCAGATACTACAGTGTGTGGGGAGATTACTCAGGGACACAGGGATAGTCCTAGGCTTGCAGCTGGCCCGCAGGAGGATGCTGTGAGTACTGGCACTCAGTGTCAGAGCATTCCAAGGAAAGAATGCTAAAGTCATGGCTTCTCTCCATGGTTACCAGGGAATGGAACATTTGGTAAATGGGTCTGTGCTGGTAGCCAGTCCTCCAGCCTCAGATTACCACCTGGACTGGGGATCTGTGTCGTGTGTCTTTGGGTCCCACCTCAGCATGAGCCTTGCTCAGCCCTGAGCCCAGCCCCAGGCACAAAGCAGTGGCCGTTCTGCTCACAGGGAGTTCTCTAGCATTCTACTCACCGGGACTCGTGGCTGACACCATGTCATAGGCTCTGGGTGACAGGTTGGGTAGGCATAGTTGCAGCAGGGATCCACACTGCCCTGTAACACAGACATGGCGCTCAGGAATCAGCAGAGCACGGACACGACCAAGCTTCCAGCTGTCCACTGCACACAAGACACAGTGCTACAGGGCCACGTCCCCCCCAGGCCAAGGGCCGAGAGCTCCTGTCCCCAGTGACAGCCCTGGCCAAGGGCCCTGCTCTGGATCTTCTCACCTCCCCATTTCTGGACCCGCACCCGCAGCAGGAGACGATCACCGTGGGACTGGTGTTCACAGGGGGAGGCGGAGGGGGAGGTTGCTGAGGCGCAGGGGGAGGGGGAGGCCTTTTTTCTTCTTCCTAGAAGTGTAAAAGACCTGTATGCAGCCCCTGGGAGCAGCAACAATCCTACAGGTCCTTGTCCTGGCACCCACACAGTTTCGGCTAATGTGGGTGACCCAAAGGACAGTGAACAGCACCCATAGTGAGGGGGAGGGCCCTGCGTGGAGGAACAGCCCGAAGCCCCTGGCTCCCAAATCTGGCTCTGCCCCAGCTGCCCCAATCCCATAGTGAGGCCTTGGTCTCCTGAGGCTGCCCTGGCTGGCAGAAGCCTGGCTGGGGGCTGTGCGGGGATCTGGGTGCTGGCAGCTGACTGTGTCCCCCCCCCCGGCATATGCCGCCTCCGCAGGCCACAGTGCAGCTAGCACAGGTCCCAGACAGCTCCCTGTTGCCCAGTACCCCAACCAGGTCCCCTGGGCCAGACGGTCAGCACTTTCTGTCCCACCAAGCTGACCCCCAGGCTGCCCCCATCCTTGCATTCCCCTGGGGACACCCTTACAGCTCTGCCCCCTGATGCCCTCCACTCTCAGCCCTGTGGCCCCCTGGCTGCTCCTGCCCTGCAGGAGATGGTGTTGAAGACAAATCCAAAGGAGCCAGCGGACACCCAGGGTGGACACAGCTTCAGTGCTCCTTTCCCAAAGCCCTGAGAGCTCAGATCCCAAAGGCACCTTGGGGATCACACAGCCAGTCAGGTCAGTAGGGACAGCAACTGCTGAAAGAGGTCCCAAGGTGCTCTGCCTGTGATAAAGGCCATAGCAGCAGGATGTGGAGTCTGGGGCTGCTCTCTGGGGACGTCTGGCTGAGTGTCCTGCCTTTCCCTCCGGTCCCTCTGCCCTTTCTCCTTCACCCAGCTGTGTTGGGGAATCTTGGGCACAGGCTTTCTGGTACTCATGTAACAGTCAGTGTCCTGCACAGGCCTATGACATCAGGATGCAAAGCAGGGCTCACCTTTTCTTGCTGGAGTGTGGATGGTGGCTCTTTCTCTGGCTGGAACATAAAGAGATGTAGTATGGGCTGAGAGTGTGGATGTCGCTGTGGTTTCCCTGAAGGTTCCCCAGGTGCCCTGTGCTGAAGACCTGGTCCTCGGAGCAGCTTGGGGCTGCTCTCTGGAGATGTCATTGAGTCTTTTATCCTCTCTTTGACCCTCTGTCCCCTCTCCTTTGCCCAGATGGGTGAGAGACCCTAAGAACAGCCTTCATGGGGACCCTCTGGAAGGACAGCACAGCCCTGAGTGTGTGCGGATGCCAGGACCCAGACCTCTACTTACTGTTTCAGGCTCAGGCAGAGGTGGTGGCTTCTTGGGGTGCTGGAATGGAAGACAGACACAGCAGAGGGTGCTGGGGTGGGTGGGTTCTGCCCAAGCTCTGCATCCCAGGGGACCCTGGTCTGGACCATCAGCAGGACATGGCCTTGGGGTGTCCACTGGGCACCGCATCCCTGTGCCACTGTGTCCAGCAGCCCACCTCACCCAAACTTCCTCCTAGGACAGTGTAAGTTGAGCTGGGCCAAGGTGCTGCTGCTGCCCAACCCACCCTGCACTGCAGCACACCCCTGCCTCTTCCCTCCTCTGGAGACCTGGCTGTCCCTGCCTTCCCTGCTGTCTCTTGTAGGGTGTCCCTTGCTGTTTCTGCTGACTGTTGAGTCTGCCCCTCCAGGCCTCTCTCCTCCCTACTCCACCTCTGGGTGCTTCAGCATGGCAGTGTACTCTGTGTTCAGTGATGTGGGGTGGTATGGACAGGTTTAACTCCTCCCTGGTCAGCACCACCCTGCATCTGGACATCTGTGCTTCATGGGGACCTTGTCACCTTCCCCAGATGGAGGATCCTGGGAATGTGTCATCCTGGGGACTGCAGACGACTTAGCGAGCAATCTTGGGGTAGCTTCTGCCCTGGACAAGAGGCTGGGGAGCCCCACCTAGGTCTAGGGTTGTGACCCTGGGTCACAGAATGACCTTGGAGAGATGGAAGATGGTCCATGGCTGGACTCTAGGCTGTCACACATTCCTTGGCCACCATGTGTACAGGGCCGGGGAGCAAGAAGCTCTTACCTTCCTCCTCCGCAGCCTCCAGCAACAATAGAACAGCAGCAGCACTGGGATCAGAAGCAGAGCCGGCAGGAATTTCAGGTAGGGTTTGATCTTTTCTGGGATTTTCTATGGGGAGGGATGAGGCCAATGGCACTGAGGGATGGCACTGGGCATGACCGGGGGCTTCCTCTACAGTGCCCGCTTGGCTTCCTGTCACCCATCACTCCTTCCCAGTCTACTGGATCTGAGGGACATGGTGGGGGACTGAGGCTGGTCCCCTAGGCTCCAGGCTGTGTCTCCACCCTGCTCAGGGCTCTGCACTCAGCCAGGACGAGGAGGTCCAACAGCTCCTGTCTAACCCCGGCCCTCACTGCTTGCTTCAGATCCACCTTAGTAGCTCGAAGACACACAAAGCTGCAGGTGCTACATGGAGGAGGTTGGGCTGCTTGGGCCCCTTGAATGAATAAGAGACTTGGGTGTCCCTAGGCCTTGCTGCCCACGTCCTGGCTCATCCTACCCTCTCTGAGTCTCAGTGGGCCCCTTCACACAGTGGAGGGTGACCCCTCCTGCCAGGAAGAGGGACTCAGAGGGCCACAGGCTTGCACAGCCCAGATCTGCTCTCCTGGCTGTGCTGCCCTCACACAGGGCTACAAGTGGGCCTTGAGGTCAGCTACTGTCCTGTGCGGCTGTGCAGAGAGCTGCCAAGGCAGGTGCATGGGGACAGTCACTCTGTGGTTCACATGGCTGAGGCTAGACCCGGCTGGTAATGGTGAGCAGCACTGCTGCAGGCAGGTCCTCCCACCCACTGCCTTGGACGGGCACTGGTGACAAGGGCTGGAAGAAGCCACCTCTGGTAGCAGTCCCTCCCTTCTGGGGAGTCTGACTGTGCTGAGCTCAGCAGGCCACATCTGGACATTGTCCCCAAAGGCAGGAGGGAGGAAGACTCTGAGGGTGACAGGGCTGCCAGATAGGCTGCTGGGAGCTGGGGAAGGAAGACAGAGAGGGGCCAGATGACAGGGCTGTTACCATGTAGGCTTCAGGTAGATCCTGAGTGGCTTTGAGTGCACATTTGCATCTGGGGGACTGATTTAGGGACAGGAACTCCTACCTCAGCCAGTGGAACACCTGACTCTCTGTGCCTACGACAACCATGTGCCAGTGCTGGGCATCCTGGACCCCTGGATGGGCTCAGGCAGCAGCCTTCTTTGCCCCTAGTGGCCCAGGGAGAATGCAGGTGGGGCCCAGGGTCCGTGCACTCTGCTGCTCTCTGAAGCTGCGTCACTGCACTGTGCCTCAACCTCCCCATGTGGGTTTGTGTCTGTTGCTCACGGCGCTCCACAGCCCAGGATGCAATCCTACCCTGGTGGTGGTCTTCACACAGTCAGTGCTGGTGAGATTGAATTTATTCCCGATGAAGCTGGCACCACTGTTCAGGCTGAGTTCAACAGAGAGCTCCCTGTGACAGAGACAGGGCAGAAGGTGCACGGCTGCTGAGGTTGGTGCAGTCCAGGGCCACCTTCTCGACAAGCCCAGCATCTGGAGCTCCCAGAGGGAGGGCAGGCACATTCTGAGGTCTTCAAGTCACTGAAATATCAGCCTTGGCAAGGGGTGAGGCTCAGGCAGTGAGCGCCCTCATGGCGCATGGTGCCATCCTGGCTGTGGCTGAGCGGCAGGGAGGTCTGCATGGCACCACCATCCTCACTTCTATTGCTTGCTGTGTGCTCCAAGCTGGGAAAGGTGACCCAGAGGACAGGCTCCTGGCTCAGCCTCTCCTGCACCTGCTCTCAGCTGGGCTTGGGCCTCTGTGCATCCCTGGGCACCTTGAGGGTCACCCACAAGGGCAGGGGGGGAGGGTGCCTCTCCAGAGCAGGCAGACCTGTGCTGCCTGTCATAGGGCACCCATAGTCAGGACACAAGAAGGTGGCAAAGGGAGACCACTCTGTCCACACCTCCTAGAACCCAGAACCACAGTCACTTACTGTCCAGTCTCATCTATCTTTGGTCCAGGACACATTATAGAAGAGTCTTCCACACTGTTGGCTTTTTCATCTGAAAAGAAGGGCACACTGGCATCTGTGTGTGGCCTTCCCCTGTCCCCTCCATCTCCCCTGGGACAACAGAGCCAGAGCTGGGCCATGACCAGCCCCTCTTGTCCACCTTCCTTTTTAAGAGC